AGGAAAACTACACTTTGAGAAAGAAAAATCACCGGATGCCAATACTGGAGCGAAAGGATGTTGAAATTATTTGACAAGGATTTTAAAACAGTGTAATTAAGAATGTTTTAATAGACAATTACAAATTCTTTTGAGAAAAATGAAAAAATTAAAAAATCTCTGCAAAGAAACAGAAGTTATAAAAACTCACTGAATGAACTCAATAGTAGAATGGAGATGACTTTGGATAGAATCCATGAACTTGAAGACAGATCAATGGAATTTATTCAGTCTGAACAAAACAGAGAAAACAGACTGAAAAAATGAATGGAGTCTCAGGGATCTGTGAAACAGATGTCTAAGTATCCAAAATATCCAACATTTGTCACCTGAGTTCCAGAAAAAGAGAAAGAGGGTGTAGCTGAAAAACAGTCAAAGAAACAATAGTTGACAACTTCCCAAATTTGGCAAGAGATATAAAACTACAGATTCAAGAAGCTGGGGGAAATCCAAACAGGATAAACACAAAGAAATCTGAACAAAGACACATTATTATTAAACTTCCAAAAAACTAAAGACAAAAAAAAAAAAAATCTTAAAAACCAGAGAGAGATGACGTATTACCTGTACTGGAAGATCAAATTAGTAACACCAGATTTCTCTTCTGAAACCATCAAGGCCAGAAGTCAGTGATACATTTTTCTAGAAATAAAGATCAGATCTGTCAACCATGAATCCTATATCTGGCAAAACTATCCTTCAAAAATAAAGGGGAATTAGACTTCTCAGATGAAGGAAAATTAGAAGAATTTGGTGCTGGCAGTCCTACCTTTAAAGCCTGGTAAAGGAAACCCCCCAAACATTAAAAAAAATGTAGATTGAATTGCGCCCCCCACCCCGCCATTCATATGTTGAAACCCAACTCCCAATGTGACTGTATTTGAAGACCTTTAAGGAGGTAACTAAGGTTAAGCAAGGTTCTAAGGGTGGGGTCCCAATCTGATAGGACCAGTGGTCTTTACAAGGAGAGGAAGAGACCCCAGGGGCGTATGCACATAGAAGCAATGTGAGGACACAGGAAGGGGCAGCCTACAAGCCAAGGAGAGAGGCCTCAGGAGAAACAACACCTGCCAACACCTCACTATGGACTTGCAGCCTCCAGAATTGTAAGGGATGCCCTTGGGCTGTTTGAGCCCCCAGGCTGTAGGATGTGTCATGGTAGCCTGAGCAGACTAAAGCAGAAAATGACAACAGACAGATGGTGGGACCTTCAGAGAGGAAGACAAGGACAGTGGAAGGAGAAGATACAGAGGCAAACATAACAGACTGCTCTTCCCCTCTTGAGTTTCTTTAATTATACTTTATGTTTGAAGCCAAAATTATAATACCATTTGATGTGGTGTTCAATGCATGCAGTGGAAACACTTAAGATAATTATATTTAAAAAGTGGGGAGGGTTGGGGTGCCTGGGTGGCTCAGTGGGTTAAGCATCTGCCTTCAGCTCAGGTCATGGTCCCAGGGTCCTGGGATTGAGCCCCACGTCGGGCTCCCTGCTCAGCGGGGGGCCTGCTTCTCCCTCTCCCTCTGCCTGCCGCTCCCCCTGCTTGTGCTCTCTCTCTGTCAAATAAAGAAAATCTTAAAAAAAAAAAAAAAGAAGTGGGGAGGGTCAAAGATCTAAATGGAGGTAAGTCTTCTACACTCAGAGGGTAAAACACTGAGAGAACACAGGTTGTGGTATATCATACAGGTGTCAGGTCACAGCTAGGGCAACTGGCAGTAAAGTTATGCAAAGTGGCATGTAAAAAAATACTATAAATAAAGAAGAATCTAATGTTATAAAATTAT